GGGGACAATTTTTGAAAGCGGGACACAGTATTTACCATTCTCATGGAGCCACTTTGTTAAGTCAGAGACAGAGCAAACATGGGATAACCCTCTGAAAGTTACGAATTTTCTCTCCCTCGTACGTAGTTCACACCCCTAGTTTCAGGCCACCAGGACTGCTAATCTGTCTTTTATTAGGCCTTTCATGTTCCTGACTCTGCTTTTCCCTGGAGAAGAGCAAACGCCACCTTCCGAACCACCAACTGCTACCGCCAAAATTATTTCCCAGAGGAACTTGGTTACAAAATTAGTCACCTGACAAATTCAGACCTATTTGGAGGAACGGATGTAATGTAGCTTTTTTGTGGACATTGTTGTGTCATCTGTTAATGAATTAAGAGAATGAAGTGAGTGAGCACTTTGTGGTGGAGGGAATAAATCACGTTTTCTCTAGTACTGGTGATGCTGCTGCCACCCTGCCTGGTTGGCAATGGAGAGCTTGGGTGTCTCAGTGAGGTGGTCTTCCACGTTGGAAGCAATGTGAAATGCAACTTTTGGTCATGCCTCACATGCTTTTTCTCTTCAGACATCTAATTTGTTATTTGCTGAGAGTGTTTTTAATATCATGTCCCTTGAAACATGCAGGATGATTTAGGAAATGGCTCTGAGCCACCTTCTTTTTGAAGTTATCTCTGCTAATTGCAGGAGTTTTGGACTAGGTCATCTTTAAAAATTGTTTTGTATCCAAACTATTATATGATCTTATTATGCTATAATATTTTGAATCTATGACTCTAGGATTCTTTGTTTCGATGATCCTTCTTGTAAATGTCTACTTTTAGTAAGTGACTGAATTTGAGATAGCAAATGATAAACGAATTCTGAGGATGTATGATTTCCCCACAGAGATGCATCTCTTGGGCAATGGTGCAATCCACCCTTGAGCTTTGCTCTCTCCACGTTTATGCCACTAGCACGGTAGCCCAAGGGGCATGTCTTGCAGACCAGTGCTCTGTCCTGTGGTGAATGGTTCACAGCACCATTCTCCTACCTCTCCCACTTGCCACCGGCCACCTTCAGACCCCCAACCTGGCCTATTAACTGGAACATCCAAAAAATAACCCATTAACAGGAAACATTTAAAATACAGACATACCTGTAGACATTGTCATGGTGGTACTTTGTGTCATGGTACTTGTAGCTGCAGGAAAGAAGTGAAAGAAGTGAAAGAAAGAAGTGAGGAACTTTTTCTTTTCATAAAACTATGGAGATTACCTGTCCCAGATCCATAAACTCCGTTTGAGGCAACTGTTTTACAAATGAGAAATGAACAGTAGTGAGGAACTTGTTTCTAAAAAAACATACTCATTCCACATGGTGACTAGTACAGCAGCAAACTGACAACTCACAGCTTTGGACAAGACAGACGAGAGGTGTGGTGATTTATTGAAAAAGCAGTTTTAAGAAAAGGGTGTATTGCCTATTATATTCACTGATACACATCCACTTAGGATATAGAGGCATGCCTTCCTTTAAGACACATTAAAAACCAGTTTTTAAAACTTCTTTATTAATCTGCGAAGGATAAAACTTTGCTATTAATATTTGCCATATATCCCTGTGTTACCACTCTTAGGAGTATGGCAAGCAAGGGACTGAGCCTATGCATTGTTTGCATGCATAAATATGACAGTAATTCACTTGGCTCTGAATGTGTACATATATATATATATAAAGATATATACATAGCTGAGGAACCAGTGATAGTTGACCTGACTGTCAGAAATGTCCTTCCATGATTTTTTTTCTCTTTGCCTTGATGACATACATGTGGCTCTTCGCTGTGTGATTTGTCAAATAAATGTGAAACTGTTTCCAACACTAGGTCAGGACAACTGTGACTCTGTGTAGCCACAGGAAGTCTTGAAAAACTCCACGGATGGGGATTCCCCAGCTTCTGTTCTAGACCCAAGTAGAAGGCTTATGTTTAATGTTTAAACACTTAACGTTTAACACTGCCCCCTTCTGTCAAACTCAATAGAACGTGGCTAATATGTTCAAAAGACAGTGGGGAGGGCAGTGCCACACCATAAGGTCAATCTGCGTGAGAGAACACCTTACAAAGCATCATATAAGCATCACAGCGAAATGTGCCCTTGTATGTTAAAACCGTAGTGCAAGGTCTCCAGGAAATGAGAAGTAATTAATGGCACCATAATCCTCAAGGGCTTGGGAGGCACCAAAAATGACCTTTACAATTAATAAAAGACGGTAAGCAGAGCCAGCTGAGTGCAAATCTGCCGTCTAGCAAACCGATCTTTCATGCATGCAGGTTTGGACTAATGTTGTGTCAGGCTAAAGAGAACAGTTTGGATTTTTGACTAATATTTTAGTTTTCTATGGTAATTCTTAGTGTGTACCTGCTAGCATTAATGGACAGAAGGTGCTGGAAGCAAAATGAACCAAGCATGGCACAGACTTACTCTCATCGCAATAAAAAGAAACAGTCAAAGTTTGCAGAAAGGAAGCAATGTACCATGTTTTTGGTAGTTCCTTAAATCTATCTCTTCTAATCCAAAATACCAGTGCTATTTTTAGTTGATGAATGCATGTTGTTTATCTGAAATTGGTTATTTTCTTGATGTAAACTTAAATATTTATGAAAACCAAATAAAGCAAGTATATTTAATATGAAAAATATGGTCAGGATTTTCACTTAAAAATGAAGTATTGAATATGCTTAGCCATGTTCTGTGGTTTGATGCAGCATTTTAAAAGTTTTGTATATTTAGCAATCCTTTTCTTATTTTGAGAAGCACACACAAATTTCTTGGCAATTCCCACACATTCAAAAAGTGACTTTACACAGTGCGACAGGTATCAGACTTAAAGTAAAATGAACAGCAAACAGTGATCACTATATAAATTTCTCCTTCACTTCCAGGCTGGGTCATGTAAAGTCTCTTGGGCTTAGTGATTAAAATATATGTTCTTGTAGTTGTAAAAAATTTTTAGAAAGCCAGACTAACATAGCAAGCAATGGTTCAGAATTCTTAAAAATGGCACAGTTTGATTTAAAACAAAAAAACCTCCCAATGGTCCCTTCAATCCTCCCAAATGAAGTGCTTTTCTTTAAGAAGTGAGATATGAAGCCATGGGTTTGAGTCATAGTGTTATGTCTATATACCATACAGTCTGTTCAGATCATCCCTCATCTGAATAATACTCTGTCATTCACTGGGACATGAGTCAGGCTGCCTACAAAAATTTCAAACTCTGTCTGGCTTTTGTTGTTACTTTTTGGGCTTCTTTGTTGTGTTATTTTATTTTTCTAAACGATTCTTACTCTGATTTCTTTGGCTTAGTTTTTGTTTCTCTGTTTTCTATTCAAATTCTCTGTTATAATTCAAGCATTTTTTACTGTCTTCTTGAAAGCAGTGGGCAAAACGTGCAACACGCTCTCTACCCTTCATATTTCCAGGGATATGATGGATGTTGTTTTCTTATTTATAGCTGCAAAGAACAGTGAACAGACAGGTGTCCCAGTCAGAAAAGATTCCTAGCAGGAGCAGAACACTCCAGATCTCTTCCATGAAGGAGGAGTGAGAGTTAATGCTGAGCCTGAATTAAAGCAAGGAAGTCACTGTGCCAAGGCAAAGCGAGAGGCTGGCAGGCATGATACGACACAAGATCGTTTGCTGGGAATAGTAAATCCAAGGATTCATCCCTGTAAAATATCAATAATATTCAGAAAGTCCTCAGCAATACTAACTACTGGTTTCTGAGAAAACCCAACCTTCCTGAACCACTGTTCTGATTTGCATGTGTAAATGTGCAGACTAGATCGTTACAGTCTCCAGGTTTTGATTCCACATAAATGAAAGTCTCAAGGGCAAAGCTGTGAGCGAAACGCACACCTCTGGGACTCTGTGATACCGTACAGGATAGAAACCGTGTCTCACTGTTGTGTTTCATATGAAGTTAAATAAGTATTGGGTGGTTCCACGTGCATCTGCAAGGCTGAATTTGAAGTCTTCTAAAGTAAATATGCATTGTAGCCAGAGAAACTGTATCCCCTCTTAATTCCATACTGAAACCCACACATTTATGGAAACAAAGTCTTTCACTAGTATGTTCATGGTAGTATTTTTTTTTTATTTAGTTTAGACTATACTACAAGGCAGTACTGAAAAACAGTTAAAGCAATATTAATTTCATTGCCCTAAATTTACTTCAACATGAATAGTTAATCATGACATCGGTTGGTTCATATTTTTAAGATGACAACATGATGCTATCTAATTTCAGTCTGTCTTCCTTCTAATCTTTGCACAAAGTTGATTATACTAGCATGTGAGTTACATGTATGGAACCAGTGTGGAAGAGTAAGACATTTCCTTTTTCCTACCTTTTTCGGAATTATGTTCTTTAAAGATTTAAAGTGGTTTACCTGAGGTGGCATCCAGGAGAGCTGTAGTTAAGAGGAATAACCACAGCAAGTTCTTGGCAGTACCCATCTTGTGAAGAGATGCCAATAAATCAGAACATCAGAATTTATACTCTGCACCTGTAAAAGGGTGAGGCTCCCAAGGTCAGTCTGCCCCATGTTATGTTTGATTTCTTATGCAACATTTTTATGACTACCTGATTTTTACAGAATGATCATATATGTTAAAAGTTCCGTTTCCTAGGTAATTTGTTCTTCTGCCCTCATTATGAATTATCTTAACTGTATGTGCAGACCCAGCATTACCTTTGGAATCAGACTGGTGAAACTACAAGTTTCTTTGCCCCCACCATCCCAACTTTATTTATTTACTGCTTGTAGCTAATGACTTAATAAAGCAGACTGTAACGTATTGCAGGGTGAGCCAGCAAATTCATAGCAGGTTTTCTGATAAAACCTTAATCAGAGGGCCCTGGTCTCATGAGCGTTTATATTTCTGATGGTTTCCACTTGAAATTACAGGCTTGTTTCTCTGCTGCTTGTACAGGAACAGCGCATCATAAATGGTATCATGTCAGGTATGAAAAGTAGATGAATGCTGGCTATTTGTAACATACTCTAAGTGGACCTCATCTGGGGGGGTCTGTTGATCTTGCTCTGCTTTACCATCTTCCCTCAATCTACTGCTATGATCTGTAGCAGAATTTGCCAGCAAGACTTCCTTCAATTCTTTGAATCATAAATTTTATAAAAAGGGAAGGAAGTATGGGTTGAAGTAAAATCAAGAGTCGTGCTGAAATGGTTTCCTTGGTTGGTCTATGTGAAGTCTTAATGGAGCCAGAGATCACTTTGGACACAACAGCCCATATCCTGCCCTGTTAAACTGTTTGCTGGAGTAACTATGCTGCTCTTTTACTATTTCTTCTCATCTTAGGAGAAATACAGGCCATCTAGAAACAGGCCAATTTTTGGTCTAATATTCTATTCATTACACTTCATCCAGGCTGTCCCTATCCATACATTTTGGCTATGATATAAACGGCAACCAAACCGCAATAGTTGACGTAACTCATGATTCCTACTGGTATATTCCAACCTTCCTCCTACAGAAAAGCACAGCTTGGATCTAGAGACAAAGGGGATAAGGAGTCCCCTCTCTCTGAAGAGCTTCACTGTGCTAGAATAGAGGCAGGAAAGACAAAAGGCCAGAGTCCAGATTCAGAAGCTGTCAAAGCAGTCAATGAGAAGAGCAAACAAACTGAAGAACAATGGTAAATACAACTTATTGTATTCATATGTTAATAAAGAAATGTAAGGATGAACATTTGTATTCACAGCTCTACTGTTCCTGACTTCCTGACAAGAGCAAAAACAATACCATGTGTCCAGTGGAGTGATCACACCCTGTGATTCCAAAGAGACTATGGGGTCATAACCCTGCCTTTAAATTCCTGAAAAATAAGACCTTTTTACAGAACAAGGAGACCAGGCAGCTGGAGACAGAGGCAGACTCTTCTCAGTGGTGCAGGGTAAGAGACAATGGGCATGAACTGAAGTACAGTAAATTCCATTTAAACATAAGAAAAAATAATTTCACTGTGAGCATGGTCAAGCAGTGGAATAGGTTGCCCAGAGAGGTTATAGATTCTTCCATTCTCTGAGATATTCAAACCCAACGGGACACGCTCCTGAGCAACCTGCTTTCTCTGACCCTGCTTTGGGCAGGGGGACGGACTAGAGGACTTCATTGGGCCATAGCTGGTTTGTGACACCATGAATAGAAAATTAGTGGGTGACATCAAGGAGATTCAAGAAGAGAGGAGGAATAAATGCACTGTATTAAGTTTATCCACAGCAATTAAACCTGCTGGCATGGCTCTAGCACAAACTTGGCTGTTAGAGTTCTTGCCAGGGCTCACCAGTTTCAATTTCCTGGTGCATTTCTGACGTTTCCAGTAAATGTTCTTTAACTCGTATGAGGACCTACCTCTTCAGGTTTGATAACAGGTAACTTTGATTTGTTGCTGTTAAAATGCTAACGTGCTCTGTACAAAATACACCTTAGATTACCTCTCCTTTCTATTGCACATACCAACATCAGAGCAGCAGGAAGTTTGCTGCAGAACAAAGTACCATAAAACACTGTAAATAACCTGATGCATGAGGCTGCATTCCTGGTAGCATATCAGCAATCCATAGCTGTTTTCACATCATGAGGAAATGGGAACTATTGCCTTGGATCTTGAGGCACATGAACATAAAGAAACTTGTCTAAGAAAATCAGCCTCAGTTAACTCACAATACCTTCTATCAGAGGCCAGCTGTTCACTGGAACAACTTTTCACTAAGTTATACTGTTACACTTGGATTAAAGAAACAAATGTTATCTTTTCTATGCAATTTCAATTAAAAAAATGCAGGTCCAAACTACCAAAGATTCATTTTTTCAAACGCAGTTGTAATTTTTAGTGGCACTTAGAGCTGTTAAAGACTAGAGAAAGCCCTTCCATTTCCCTTGATCAATCATTTTCTTTCAGTTTGAGGGAGAAAAAAAATAGAAGATTTTACCTACTGTAACAGTCTGAGTTCTAGGTCCATGTACTGGTTTTCTGCCATGTGCTTCTTGCAGAAAGGAGCTTGAACACATCAATCTCCACATTGATCCTTTGTATCTGCCCAGGAATGCTCTGCAGGACTTCAGTTGTTGTATACGTCTCCATTCATTTAATGCTGTACACAGATGGGTAATACCCCATCAGGAGAGCACCCAATATTTCTCAGACTTTTAGCTTGCTTTGTTTTGTCTCTAAAACAGGAGAAAAGTTCAGTTGTAAGAGTAAGAAACTGGCAGAAATAAATATCAGAAATCTTACAAGGGGCTATATACAGGTGAAATAAGGCTTTATGCCATCCATATCTGAGGCTAACATTTGGATAGTGTCCTGGTTGGGTAGGATCTCATATCCACCAAACAATCCAGAAAAGCTAAAAAAAATGTCGAATCAAGAGTTTGCAGCAACATCCCATTTCTTGAATGCTGTTCTACATTTTGAACCGATTCTTTCTGCCTGTAGCAGAAACATCAATACCCAAGTTTTAGTGTGTATGTAACCTCATTGTCACCTCTGGTTGTCAGCGCATTTGCATTTGAAATCTGGGTTCAGCCATAGTGGTTAGCGTAGTGATTTTTCTTCCCTTGTTCAGACTTAATCAGGCAGAAATATAGAGACTGTATACAGCCTTTTGATGGTTTTGGGAGGCTGGGCATTCAGGCACCTACACTGTTCTGTATATGCCTGTATGGCAGCTGCCTAATCCATCAGGTATGCAGACTTGAACATATACCCTTAATCCTTTTGTAGAGCTATTATTATTATACTTATTAAATAGTATATGTACCAAAAGATTAACATATATTCTGTTAAATTCCTAAATGCCTTTCTATAAAGATTTCAAGTAATGCATTACCAACTCCAGACCACACCACTTGATTTGGTCATGCCTAAAACAACAGTCCAATCTGGCCTCTTCTACTATCCCTAGCAATTAATTCCTTATTTTAATAGTCACCCATTTTGTGCCATTTTCACCTCTTTTACAGTTTTACTGCATTTGTTTTCTCATTGCACCCTCCCCTATTTAATTTAAACTCTTCTAGTCATCTCTAATTTCTGTGCACTGCTCAGCTTGCACCTCCCACGTTGGGCCTGATAGTATCTGCTAAGACTGCAAGAACAGGATGAAGCATGGAAGAGATGCCTGGCAACACCAAGCCAATGGCTGAGCAGAATTTATGGTTAATTACTGGTACGTAACATATATATTTTTTGACACTTGTGTTCTGTGAACTTCCCTGCACTATCTGCCAGTTTCAAGGAACACCTTAACGCTGGGCAGGGAGGGTCCAACAGAAATGGGAACATGTAGCCTCCCAGTGATATGCCTGGGATGTGGGGATGTGCAAGTGTTCTTCAGGGATGCAAGCCAACCTACAACACTCTCCCATCGTATGACCAGACCTGCACTTTTCTCATGACATGATACATGTGCGTTTTGCTAACATGAATGAAGGTTCCCAACAGTCAAAGCAGCCTACATTTGAAGTGTCTTTGGACAAGAGTGTGAGTACAACCTCAGTGAATGCATCTATTGAGCCATATTGGCTCCTGTCTTACACTACCCTGTAGCTGCATCCTTTCCCAGTGCTCAAAAGTGATCCTCAAGCCTGGATTTTGCCTTCCAGCTTCTTTTTATACTCATCTGTTCAAACCATCTTTAGCTCTTTGAAACATATTCAGATCAGTGACTTTTAGCCTTCAAGAGATCCCAGTTTTCATTCTAAGCATTGCTGAGATGAAACATACCGGATGTGGGGGAACCTGAGGCAGCTGGCTAATGAAAGACAGGATGTGAACCGACAACTTGACTCCAGGATTTCCCACTGTCTTCAGTGTTACCACTGGTTCCCCTTCACTACCTAACTTTGCCTTCAAACCACGAGAAGCACTACCAGGAAGGACATGATGCTGCTGGTTGCCAAAGGGGATTGCTCAAGAAAAGTAATCACTTCATGTGTAAAAATACCTAGATGCATGAGAAGCCACCTGCTCTCAAAACGCAGAGTCATCAGAGGGGTTGTATTGCACGTGTGTGCTAGGTAATTTGTGTAGAAACCCAAAGAAATTATAAAGGGAAGCAATACTCATTTCTTGCTGTGTGAAAGATTATTTCCATACAAGATGCAGAAAAGCAGTCACTCATTTAGCAGTTCCACAGTGATTACTTCTCGGCACCAATCCACTTACAACGTGTTGCTCAACTTTTATGCTACTTTACAGCTGCTACAAACTGATAAACAGCAAAGTCCTCCTACAGAATACCGGAAGTGACCTGCATATACCATTTTGCCTAAATACTTTTCACCACTCCAGCTCCTTTCAAGAATGTGTTTCCATGTCTGGTTTTAGCTAGCCTCCTTGTTTTCCCCTTTTTTCTCACAACTTGACAACAGTAGTGTATTTCTGAAGCCTTTTAGTGACCCTGTGAACTTTGAAAATGTATTTAAAGCTAATTATCTTGCCACAGTATGATATCTTTGTCAAGGACTTTCTGTTTATACTTGCCAGAACTTGTCACCATCCAAAAAATAATCATAAAGCAATTTTTCTTCTGGTTAAACACAGAAATGAAAAGAAAAAGCTGAATTAAGCTACTTAAAAATTAATACATTCTGTTTGCGTGGAATATTATTAGATAAAACCAAGTTAGTGTTATTAAATTTTTTATATGCATGGTGTTTAAGGAAATTCAAAAGCTAATAAAGTAAGAATTCCTTTCTGTGACCTACCTGTGGTACTGAATTCCAGTCTGATATATCTCATCATATTTGTGTTTCAAGCACACGTACGGGCAGAGAAACACCTGTGGTTCTAAGGAGAAAGAAAAAAAAAACCCACATTAAAGCCTCTTCACGACCTTAATCCTAAAGAATCCAACAGAACGAAAGGTCTTGCTTCCCAAAGATATGAGTCTACAGTGATATCCAGTGCTGGTTTTGATGACTTCCCCACTCAGCCCAGCTTATGCAAGGTCTTCCCAAAGATTTCCAAACTAGTAGCCTGGACAGCAGATGTCTACACTGCACTGCTCAGTGCTGTGTCTCTTTCAGGAATTTTATCTTCGTTCAGATATTAAAAACTAGAAGAACCAAAGGGCCACACTGGAAAAGTGAGGATTACTGCTTTTAGATATTCTGTTCTCAAGGCCCCAAGCATTTATACAGCCTTTCATACAAAGGTTATGTGCCTAGATTTGTCATTTCAAGTAGAACTATATTTTTTTGTATCTATCATATTTCTTAACACTTCTTAATACTTCTCATTGCATTTCTTTCTTGCACTAATCAAAGATCTGAAAAGATGGAGCAGTTTGACTTGGGATTGTAAAGTTTAAATAGTTAAAATCTGCACCAAAGAAAAATTTATCAGTAAAAAACCCGTTTCTTCATATCTCCAGTCTAACACGCAGTGCAACGTGACCTGGGTTTCTCACCTGGTTTTTATTTTCTCTGAATTGGAAATGTAGCAAGATGGAATGCAAAGTGCAGCATGTGCCATTTCCTTTGTTTTAGCTTTCTTTTCCCCACCAACCTGGGCAGATAATTTCTGTCAGTATGCTTTTTATAACATGGGGGTGCCCTACACATGATAATCGGGGGCAACAAGAGCATGGTGTTTACTAAATGGATGAGCAACAACAAATACCAATACTCCTCAGCTGTTCCTCACCTACCCCCCTTTACTAATAATTTGCAGACAGGTAAAGGAAATTAGTGAATTTTGCCACACTAGATGAAGTCAGTTTTACACATATATTACTGTATTATGTGTTTTGACATTTCACTGGGAGCCAAGATAGGTTGTTAAAATTACATATTGGAATAATTGGCATCAAAACTTTGCAAGTGTTTAACTAAGCTATGTGCATAACTTTTCTGCTATGAATAGTCTCCCAAAATCTTTGGAAATTGTGTGTTTGCCTTAACCTCTGCAGGATCAGGCTTTTGATACACTTCACAGAAGGGAAAGAAAGGGGGGAAAGTGGTGAAGACATAGGGGGAGGTGAGGTAATATAAAATACCTTCTTTTGGCTTTCACTGACATTCAGTTTTATTAGATCAATTGTAAGCTCAACAAATTTGGTCCAAGAACAGTGTGGATCTATAGAAATGTTTAAAATACTCTAAAAAGATTCTGCACTATGTTTGTAAGTTATATGAGAATTTCATACACCTCATTCCCTGTATGACCTATATTTTTTTCCTGAGGATTTCACTGTGCTTCCACTGCCTTCGGCTTTGGCGTTTCCTGGTTCATGTGAATACAATAATACAATGAATCTACTGTGCCTTGTCAGAAGGACGCATGAGTCATCCCTTAAAAAAGAAAAAGACAATAGCCATTGACTTATTCCCTTGTGCCTTTTGTAGCTGCCACCCCCCACAGTGTAGGAAGATTGGTGTAGTTTTGAATCAAGAACCTAAGCTGTAATGATACAGGCTTTTACTGAACAACAAAGAGCTTTGAAAGAGAAATAAATACTAACACGAGCCTTTTCAAATGAGAATTAGCAGAGCACTTGAGGAAAGAATGATTAAAGAAACTAAAATGTAAAAGCAGATGTTAGTTACTAACAGCCATTATTGGTATGTACTAAGAGCACTTCAAGAAATACACCATTTGACCTAAAATTTTAGATTTGATGTCTAGATGGAGGAGACTCACCTTAGATAAGGAAGGAATGGCGGTGAAAAACTTCAGACCTTAGTGCAAACAAGACAGTGCAAATGTCACTATAGGGATGCTCATATCTTTTCTATCAGTTCCCCTGTACTTAATAGAAGGGGAAATTATGGAGACATCTGGGGTTTTGCTGCGATTACTTAGGCTGTAGTTTCATGATAACAGAAATTCATTGTAGTCCTGTAGCTACTCCACATACTTTGGTTTAAAACATGAAGTACTTGTGAATCATTAAACTTTCATCCTCAATCTATGTTATCTTTTAGCCCCCTTTTTCAGAAACCTTCCACAGAAAAATTTCCTCTGGCTGTATGCAGTTACATCATCACAGTGGTAATGTGGTAAGTCAAAAGGGATTCAAGCCCGATGTAGGTTTTTTCCACTGAGAAGTTTTGAACACGTTCCAAAACAAGAAGCAGTAACAGTAGCTCGGTTTGCCTGTTCACTGCTCCAATTACCCCTAAGCAGGTTATCTTTCCTTCCTCCAGCATCCTGAGCTTTCGGATGTTGCAATGAAGGTACCAAAGGTCTGATGACTCAGGGGGAGCTGCCCTGAGAGCAGCCGTTGAAGTCCGTTTCCACCTGCCATGGCCAGCCTGATCACACACGATCCAGTGCTAAGGACGAACACGCACTTTCCAGAGACACGGAAACAAAACTGCTGTGCAACGAGAGCTCCGCGGAGGTGGGCTCCGTTGCCAGCAGCTTTCTGCTCTGCCTCTGCCGTGCCACGTCTCACACCGTGGTCACCAGAGGCGCAGCAGCGTGGCTCGTGCAAGCAGCCGCGGCAGGGAGCAAGGAAGTGCAGTGCTGTTGCAAGGCACCAACTTCTTCAAAGATCTTTCTAGAAGCTGCCTCCCAATGGCCCGGCTGATGAGGATCCCCTGGTATCTTGGTCCAGCATGTACCATCCACAATATTTATTGCTGTTTGGGAAAACAGGAGGAGAAGACTTGCAGCTGGCTGACGGCTGAGATGGGGTTTGATTTCTGGAAGCTGCAGTGGGAGAGTCAAGACTGATGCTGTATCAGTTTATACAGCGGTTTGTTCGTCTCGGAGCCCAGTGACGACCAGATGTTGTGTGCAACGGTTACCTGACGGGGCAAACCGTGCTGGGTCACCTCTGCAACCCCCACGGCACTGACCCAGTAGAGCTGTGGGTGCCCTAAGGAGGAGGCAGGCTGCGGCAGCCTGGAGCAGGAGGGATGCAGCCAGGCATTCTTGGAGTGACAGCCCTATTGCCAAGTTGTTTGTGCCACACAGCACTCCAGGAAGGCACTATTACCCCTGATGATGCCCACTTGCTCTTGCTACTAGCTGTCTTTTTTTTTTTTTCCTGCAGATATGCAACCAGATAAATCAGTGCCTTTGCCTGATCCGAAGCAGAGCTATGGTATTACCCAAAAAAGTTATACTGACTTCATTTGACATTATTTATTGGCAAAGAAAATACCAAAATTAACCCCAAAACTAGATGTGGGACAGCAGATCTGGACCACAAATAAGATCTTCCTGTATTTTTCCAGAACCCATGTATGTGATGCTCCTGTGTTCATATAAAGGGTTCTCTTGCAAGAACAACATATTGCTTGGAAAAATTCTTTATTACAGATGAGGCACTTCAAGATGGCAAAAATTTTTAGTTTGATTGCAGAGACACTTTCAGGAATCATGTGAGTAATATCACACTAGAAACATTGCCTTCTTGATTTTGTAACTACAAAATTTATATCAGAAATCAGCCATAATTCAAAATAGTTCAAATCGCTGATTTTTCTCAACGAGGAGCACCTCTCTAAAGAACTAGTCACAAAATATTCAGACATTCTGTATGAGGATCCATATGCAATTGGAAAAAACATGTTCTTCTTTTGGTTGTGCGTGATTGCCTGGGTATTTTTAGCTGCATAAAGCCTCCTCCATCTGAAACATTTCACGCAGCACACATTTTGTGATGTACTCAAAACTGCCCCGTGGAAAGGAAGGACTTGCTCTTAATTTATACACGAGGAAGCAGAAAACAAACTCATCCTTGGTGTGGAGCAGGAACTGGCTATATGGGTCACCCAAAACTCGAGCTGTATTTTTCGCTAGGAGAGTCAAGAGAGGAGGAAGCTAACGATTCGGGTACTAGGTTAAGATTTGAGAGCTTAATATTGCAGGTGGCAACTAATTTGAGGGTTATTTAGCTGCAAATTTTCCCTGGTCTTCTGGCTTCCTTGAAAGCTGAGTTGTTATGCCAAGCCCACCTCTTCTCCTGAGGTGAGCTGTCACCACAGAAAACTTTTCATGCTTGGATTTTAATCTTGGCTTGTCAATGAATTGCCTCAACACAAGAAAATTACTCAGTCCATCAAATTACTCAGCCAATGTGATCAGCTGCAGGTGTTTACCAAGGCTTACACTATCTGGTATGGAATTGGTTTCTTCACTTTATGTTTCAAAAGAAACCCAACAAGAATGAAAAGCAACTGCCAGGGGCCTGACAGCAATAATAAATGGTGCATGAGAAACATGAGCTGGAGCAGGAGCTGGATTCATGTTCTCCTGGATGACAAAAGGGTCCAGCTCTGGGAAAGACGAGAGGACCTGGTTACATTTGATCCCTTATCCTGTTATTTCCAAAACAATAAGAAGGAAGAAGATTGCATTCTAGATCAAGTTTAAAGATTATATTAGTAGAGCTTGTTAATAGAACTTAAGCTGCAACTTAAGCATTTCATTTTTACCATTAAGAAAACTAACAACAAATAAAAAGCTTAGAGATTGCAAATTTGTCTGGGAACTTTTCTGACTGGCTTTTCGGATATGGCAGCTACAAGTCGAAGGCAGTTTGGGAACAGGTGAGTTCCACAGAGCTGCCTGTGCTCTGTCTCATCAGACTTCCCGCGTTTTTATGATGTGCAGAAAAGACAACTGATGGGAAGTGGGATTAATAGACAGGAGTCTGAAGGCACATTCCTAATGTTTATTGCAGAGCTGCCGGTAATCCAGCAGCATAGTTTCATCCAGAATTAAGTTGGCATTTAAAGATGCTATCTGCTAAAGGTGATAAAAGATTTATTTAGCATCCCGTGCATTCCTATTCTCATCACCATCTTCCCGAAGCTGTATTGGACCAGCAACAATGGTCACACTTTCTTGGCCAGAGCTGGCCTCTCTCTTGGACCTAGTAATACAGCCTTGGTAGCATCTGGAAGAATAGTCATAGGCCCTGCACACCACTAGTTCACACTGTAGGTAAACCAATGGGTTGTAACGAATAAACTGGAAGGCGTTGAATTTAAACCGGAGCACGTGTCTGTAGGGTGAGTAATATGTAGCGTAGGTAGGATCTCGAACACACCTAAAAAGGAAACAAGAAAACTCTCATGAATATACACTGCAATCAGTCATTTACACGCAATATAACACGTAACATGAAAGTGATTTTTAAACATGTCGGAAATGGTTCAGAAACCTGCAATCAGGAAAAGCAAGATGCCCTTCTTTGGCGGCATTGAGCCATGTTACCTCCCCTCAGCTTGTCCTCTGTCTATGTTTTTCTGAATGTGAATCATACTTAAGCTATGTCACTGTTACTTGTTCAATAATAATCCACGGTGAACTGGCCATAGCCATTTAGTCTATTTGTCATTTTTAGCTGGAGGGTGTATGTGTGTTATATTTTGGGTCAATCCATCCCCTTTCCCCCAGTAAACCTCAAATGCCTATGGTCATGAATTAGTTGGAAGCTAACACTAATTTATGCTCTATTCACACTATTCAGTTAAAACAAAGTTTTAAAAAAGAAAAAAAAAGGAAGAGATACAAGTTCAAAGGCAGTTCTACTTATAATTCTAATGCATAAGAGCTTACCCACTCCTGATCAAGTCGTAAGTTACTGTCGTAAAATTGTGGGGAGTGGGAGACGCCACACATGTGTCCAAAAACAAGACCAGGTTTGAATCAGAGCTGTGCAGGTAAGCTTCAAGGAACAAATTCTGATTGATATCAACGTAATATGGTGAGTCAGTCACTGGCCATGAGAAGGATGAAGAATGATAAAACGTGAGGTTTACATCATATCTGCCATACTGCGTTTCATTGACATCAAAATTGTCCTCCGCAATATACATTGTTTGTGCCCATGTGTTCTGGAGCATTTTGCAGTTGATATGCAAGTGGAGATTTTTATTTCTTGTGATTACAGTACCAGAAGAGGATCCTCTAATAATGTTGGAATAGATTATTGTATTGTTGTTTCCCTGTGTGGCATATAAAATAAAATGCAAAATTAATGCATACAGTCAGGTTTCCTATTATTCATTCTAAACTTTACTGTACCCTTACAACAATATGCACAGTAAATGCATTATGTCCTCTAGAAATCTGCTGTGGAGAAGTCTGAACCTAGGGATTTCTGTTCTCAAGATAAGAATCTACATGTAATATTTAGTGACTACAGTGTGGGCCTAGAGAACTAGTCACACTACACGCAGACATAACTCATTAAATACAACCTGCACAATTCTTTGAATATCAGATGCCCGAAGGATCTGGTACAGCACAGTGTTTCAGCTCAAGTTGTCACCTAAACCACAATTGGTCACATTTAGTAAAGGCTTTGAGACCTTTTTAACCACCACACTCAGCTCGGGACCTTGAAAACACAAGTATTTGCTCCCTCCCACACTTTGTTCCTTAGAAGATCAATAGCAGGCTCTAAGTGCTGTATCTGTCAGCAGATGCAGGAAATAGGAGTGGTAATAAACCTTATCCCTCAGGAGAGGCAGAGAAAGCCCGTGATCACCAGGACACTTCCAGTGCCCACAGATCTTGGTGCTGGGTTTCTAAATGAATTCTTCAGTCTGACTTGTTACACGCTCACAATATTTGCATATTCTGTTGAAACAATTAAAGTCATACCTCTCTCACAGTGCCACAGCGAGTGTATGGTATGTCGAATATAACGGAGTCTGATGTAATGTTGGGTTTGCAAGAGGGGTCATTCAAGGAGAGATTCCAAGCTGAGTAACCTTGTGACTGAAGGTAGTATCTGCTCACAACTGCACGCATGTAGTCTGGCAAACACACCAGTGCTAGCGCAAAGAAAACACGTTACCAGCTCATTGAAGTGACTGAAAAAAGGTTGTACTTAAATAAACAGTATCTTTTGCAAAAGCAGCTGATACTGCAGAAGTTCAGAACCCAAATGATATACTTGCACCTCTTTGAAATGCTATAGATTTTAATTTAAAATAACATGAAATGGATGATTCATTGAAGTGGTACGAGATTAACAATCAATGGATTGGCAAAGAATTGAGAAGCAGATTTCTGCTTTAAACATGAACTTACTAGTGCTCTGATCTGCTGGAGTGGAATAATAGTCAGCTTGAAACCCTCTGTACGTGTATCGAGAGTTACTGTAAAACTGTACAGTCAGCAGGTTTGAGGAAGACGTGTATGTGCGAAAAGAACCGGAACAAAATTTCCCAAGGAGAGGAGAGGTACGGAGTGGCCCATCATAAACTTCTATATAGTCAGACAGGCATCTGCCACCTTCCATCCTGGGGAACAAACATGACTATTTAGTCAAATACTTATTTCATATATTTTTTTCTTAATTTCTTTTTGTTTGGTTGGTTGGTTTTGTTTTTTGTTTTTTTTTTTCCTTAAACCCAGATTAACTGTTCACAGCAAAAGAGTACTTGTTAGTGGTATGACTATCAAGTCTTTGGAACAGAAATTACAGCCTCCAATTTCTGTCTCATTAGATGCCAGCCACATTATTGGTTAAATAAACAAAAATCAATATATTTTTCATCTCAGATGTACTAAAAGCTTTGTACAACATCCTTGAAATCAAGCAGCTATTGGCTTAGCAAATCCAAAATGTCAATCCCACACATCATCTTCCCAAGCAATAAATTTTTACTTACTGAACATCTCTAAATGTGAGTGTGACACGGAAGTTGCTGTTGACTTCTATTTCCCAAACACAGTTGGCATTGTTTGGATAATTTCTGGGGTAAAGTGGACTTTGTAATGTCCCAGATGAAGAGGAAAGCAAGCCACCACAAGAATAATCTTCTGCAGAGAAAAATATTAGAAGAAAAATAACATTATACACTATGTAAGGTTGCTTTTGGAATATGTCTATGTGGAGTTTATAAGTTTAAATTTAGAGGCAGTGATTTCTACCAGTTTCAATGGTCTTTCTATTAGGTTCATATATCATCTGAATGCATCTTAGGAGATCCTAAGCACACTGGATAGTTTGTCTAATGCTGATCTTCAATGTCTGCACTGGCAGGACAGAGTATTTTTCCTAGAACTGCACAATCATTGAGGCTGGGCCTCTGGAGTTCAGCTGTTCTTTGAAAGTCACAGCTGAGCCTGGTTTCACTCCTCTACAATTGCTAATGACCAAAGGGAAGGAAAAACACAATCAAAATTATTTTGTTTCTGAATAAGAATGCTGACATATCCAATTCATAAACCTGAAGAACTTACGTCACAGTCAAAAAATTGTGTAAGATTATATATAGGTCAGTTGCAGCCTAATGAAATAAAAGGTGAATCAAGATCTAAGAAGTAAAATAAAGTCATGTATTTTTGGGTTACTTTTCAGTACAAGTTCAAATTACGCTAAGAAAAACGTGTAAATGGATACTGTCCTTTGAATTATATTTCAAGCTAGAAAAAAAACACGTTTACTTTTTTCAGCCTAAAGAAAGAACAAGATACGTGCATAGAAAGATTTACTGACAACACAGAGATTTCCTGTTTTTATTTTCATCTTGTAACAAACAAAAAAGAAACCATTCTCTCACTAACTGAACTCTAGAATTAAATACGTAAACAAATAAATATTTAAAATATGTACTATGCTTAAATTATGTGGTTGAACAAACAGCTGAAATAGGGGTCAGAGGAATAATGACACTTGGGAAGTTGTCAAAAACAATGCTTCTTGAGCACTGGTGAAATTAATGCTGCACTGCAAAGAAATTTCACTGGGTGTGAAACTGATTTTGGTATAATTTGAGGCATTGTTCTATGGTATTAAATGAAGAGGAACGTACCCCAAGCAGTAACATTCCTCTCATTGGCTGCAACCATGACCAAGCAATCCCTCTGCCTGCACTCGTACACACAAAACCCCAACACATGAGCCTTTCCATCTGGGGACCCCATCTCAGATGCTCCATCTATGTTCGGTCTGAAGATCAGGACAAACATTTTTACTGTGAGGGTGACTAATCAATGGCAAAGGTTGCCAACAGAGGTAGTGGATTCTCCATCCTAGAGACAGTCATGAGCCATCTAGACATGACCTTGGGTAGCCAGTTCTGGGTGACCCTGCCTTAGCAGGGGAGTAGGAGCAGATGACCCCCAGACGTCCCTTCCAACCTCGGCCAACCTGTGATTCTGTGATCTGCAACTGGGGGCAGGAGCTAGGCAGACCCCTCAAGCCTTCTGGACCTACCTGAGGTCGATGACTCGGTGGGCATTGAGCTGGAGGTGCCTGGTGCTGCAAGGTATAAGAACAGAGAGTGAGTGAGCAGCATTTTGCCTAAGAGAACAACCCTCTGGGAGTCAGCCCTGCCCAAAAGGGATCCTGGGACACTGAAATGTGAGACACACAGTCACCACCTCGATGAGTGGCAGGTCCCTGTGTGGCTGCATCTCAAAGCCTTCCCCCTCCATCCCACCAGCCAAGACTGCAGGTCATTTTCTACATGTGCAATAGCTCCCAAGAGCCAGACCTTGCGTGCCTATGAAGGGATGTCCCCCTGAGAATGGGTAAGAGATAAGCAGACCCTTCAGTCACTCCAGACCTACCTGTGGTCGAAGATATGGGAGGAGTCAAGCTGGAGCTACCTGGTGATGCAGGGAA